TGGTGTTAATGGTGTTGATATTTCAACACCATCCGATTTCTTATAAGCAATTTGATTTGCTTACGAACATTTGGGCGGTGTTTTCTTTAAAACAGGGTGTCATGCCGAGATTACCTTAATTTGGCTATATGCAGCACACTTTCCTTATCAGAATGATGAATCTTATTGGATTTAGCTTTAATGAGACATTCATTACGGATACGAGGATTCAAAATGGCTCAAAAGTACAAAACCTACTTTGTGACAAGGACTGGAAACCATGTCGACAGTATTGGATTATAATGGCACCATGGAATGGTTAATTGTAGACCTACTGTTGTAGAACATACGATAGATAACTTCAGTAAAAACAAGTAATATAACACGTCTCCACCACGACGCACTATTTATTTATGGATTTTCAAGTCAACGACTTTGATTGCACGTTGTCAGTGTTTTAAAATCATGTTTTTCAGTGATTCTTTGATAGTGTTGTGTTGATGCTATCGCGAATTCAGAGTACGTCACAGATCCTGAATGTTTAAAAGGCAATCACAGACTGATGTGTGTATGTATGCCTAGTGGTAAAATAAAATTATTTATTTAACACTGTGAATGTGTTGAATTCTACACGGCGGCGCACACGAACTACTGTTTAACATCATTCTGGAATTTAATCCTTTCTTAACTGGCTGTTAGCAAAGGATGATCACCTTTATAACGTTTTCGATATTGTGCTTTAGTGTGAGGTTCTCCATACCGGAAGTTACAGTTTTAGATATAGGTAAGTATTTTTTGTATTGCCATTTCATAATGAACTTTTTGTACAGCTGTTATTTTGTGATGGTAAATATTTAAATATCTTAATGATCTACAGATACAGGAAAAGTAATTGATTTCAGTGAATAGTCAAAATATCTTTGAAAAGAAAGATGAATTTTCAAAATATTTATCAATGGAACTTCATTGTTTTGAAATAGGCTTACAACGTTCAATAGTGTCGAGAAATATGGAGATGTTTAATGTTTGAGGTAAACATTAATAATGCATGATGTCTTGTGGCATAAGTGATTTGGAGTTCGTGTTGTGTGTACTATACGTTGAAGCTGGTCTTAACATTTCAATAGATATTTGTGTAGGGTTTATGTATTAAAATCTCATGATGGAACGGGTATATTGGAGAAAAACAACAAAGTGGCGATGCAAATTGATTCCTGTAGGGTTTCGGTATTAAAAGCCCATGATGGAACCGGTATGTTGGAGGAAAAAAACAACAAAATGGCGATGCAATTTGATTCCTGTTTTTGTTTTTTTGTGTTTCCAAAATGGCAGCCATATCATTTTACACTGATCTACAAAGACGTTGAAAAAATTCTAGTTTATCTGCATTTGTGATAATCCCTTCAAGAAAACGAATAGAATACCAGTGTGTAAGGTATCGAGGTTCGCCTGATTTTGACAAGCAACACCTTGGGATAGCATTCGAATACTCGAGAAAGCCCACTATAGTTGATAGGAATAAAATAACTCTCACACATTGATAACGTCATCGATTTGGAGACATATTTCATGGAAAATTTATAATGGCAGGATGAACAGAGTTCACAACAACTTTACAATTTTTAATTTATTTAAAGTATGTAAGGAAACATCGGCCAAGGATTCTATTAATCTATCGCTAAATTCGTGGTTTTGTGATTTACATATATACGTGTTATCAGCAGCAGTACTATTGTATTGTTATTTTGTACAGTAAGAAAAAACAAAGGTATTGAAATCGATTCATATTTATTGTAAAATATTATTTCTATGTGAAACATCACATCAATACCTAACGTATTGATGGTGCCAAGTAATAGTGATTCCGCACAAAATATCTCATTACGGTAACATGCCACATGATCATATACTTAAAAAATGTTGACTAATCTTTATCACCTCCCATTAAATTCACGGTCAGTAGAAATTTCAAATTTTCTCATCGGACCAGGATTCATTCATAGCTCCACAGAGAAAATAGGTAGAACATATCTGCATGTTAAAGCAAATCTTTACCCGATGTAACTGGGGCAAAATATGAACTATATTAACATGGAGACACTTGAAATAAAAATATAAAGAAAACAAGACAAGGCATTTTGGAAGAATAAGAGTCTTGTGCTTCATAACGAAGAAGCCATCATGTAAGTCTTGATCAATTCAAGTGAGATCACGTTGTAAAATGAGAACAAGGTAAACAACGGCGGAAACACCGTGCAAACACACCAGCATCAAACGCGTCCGACTTCGTACATAAAGTTCGAAAGTGAGATATCATTGAATTAAAACAATCATTAAGACAGGAAATTAAAGAAAACCAATAATGATAAAGGTTACTTTGATAACTTAGATCGGTATGATATTTTGTTGAAGAAGATATATAAGTATTAAAATAAAATTACATCTCTTCAAGAATGTCTCACATGACTTTCCTAAACAGTAGGGAAAGAAGCAACTTATTTCATGCTTATTCGCCTCAATACTGCAAACAATTTTGTCATACACAAGTCAAAATATTGGCGAATGATTATATTTATAAAATCCTATTAAGAGACTAATGCAGGGACTTTTAACATCAAAGCAACAGCTTGGTTAAATTGTTTAATGTTTTATCAACACGATCCAAACAGTCTATTCTGGCTGTACTTACTTTAATGAACGATTTCAATTATCTGAAATATCATCTCTTATGTCAACGCAAAAGGTAGGACTTATCATTTCTCGTTACTTCAGTGTGTTATGGCCCATCTGACCCTGATAGCCTTTTTCACATGGGTAAATGTCTAAACTGAGCAGCCGTCAAAAGAGACATCAGCAAAGGAGAAACTGCGTTTACAAGACAAGGGAAATAAATAGATGTACAGGAATACTACCCAAACAAGTAAACTAAAAATGTCAGTATTTGTTAAAAAACAAAACAAAAAACAAAAAACCAAAAAAAAAAAACAAAAAACAAAAAAAACCCATGTATTTTACTTAAGTAAATCAGTCCATCAATTGAAAATTCGTAGCTTTATTGAAATTCGTCCTAACCACCATAGTTGTGTCCTTAATGAACTCAATAGCAATTAATTATTTACCAGCTTTGTTATGATATGGCAGAAAATTCCCGATTCTGGAAGGGCCAATTTGCCTTTGACTAAAGCTACGGTTAGATTGGAGAATCCTGAGAAAGAAGTTTAAATATTTTATGTGCTAGTATCAAAATTCAAATTCAAAATGTGAATTGCGAAAAAGAAATCCCTTATTCTAAAAGAGACTTGCAAGTTTGTTATCTTGATTATATTCATTATCAAAATCAGTAATATGCATTACATAAAAAACATACATTGTATTTATATTTTAATGAAATGAATTATTGATATCTTTTTTCATATGATTTTTACTTATAAAATTGGACATTTTAAAATTTGGTACACCACAGGTATTTTTCTATATGGATCGTTTGGGGAAAAAACAAAAAACCAAAACAAAAAACAAAAAAAAAACTTAACTCACGAAGAGAGAACAAAAAAGCCGATGGAAGCCTCATAACTGATTCATGTTATTCCCATAGAGTATATCTAGTAAATCAACAAACCGACATATTTAAAAAACATTAGGTAAAGCGGCGCTGAATAATTAATATCGGTGTCATCAAGGGAAATATCAAAGGGATTAAAACAGAAGAACACATCTATAATTGATGAAGCATCAAACAGTAGAGAGTAAAGACAGGTACACATCAATAGTGTTCTGTAATTAACGGCTTGGTTCGACAATGAATCTCAGTACTCTGTTATCAGCAAATTCCCAATCGACGCAGATTAGGCTTTGTAATTTCCTCGGGCAGGATTGAACCATATTTTTGGGTACAATTCTCTTCCATAATAATTGACGACACACACTGCATCGCTATTATACCTGCTTAGCGGGGATTGAGAAACGGAAGTATTTCTCGTTTCTCGTTTCATGTACTTAAAACAACACTATACAGAATATTTGGACAGTGATTGAGCCTCTTAGTAATGTGATACAACAGTGAAAGTGTTGACTGTCAGTTTTCTGACATACAATCCTGATATCAATTTTTACTGCACGCTTATCGATGTAGAGCATAAATAAGAGGTGTTCAAAGATTCACAGGGTAGTAGGTCACGTTACCATTCCAAATCGCAACCTTTCAGAACACAACAAATGCGTCAATGATTTGCCCTGTCATCCGTGAATATTTTAAAACTTCAAAAAACAACCATTTAATCAACCGTATCGATCTCATATATTGATTCGAATAAAAAATTAATGATGCAAAAATGCTAAGTTAATGAAAAAGTTAACGAGCTCCTTGTAATTACCTTTGTCTCTGACGTGTTTATGCAGGGATGTAATTATTGGTTGTGTTCAATATATCACCATACGAGACACAGGGGTGGTTTTCGTTCAGTACTTCATTCCCCGTCATGACTTACATGTCTTAACTACGGAGGTTTGGGGAAAGAATACAATATGTATTAGCTCCACCTTTACGGAAAATGAAAAGTTGTATCGTTGTCTTTAGAGTATTTTGATAATTGCACATTGAGAAAAAGTTGGCTATCCCATTGCTAATCTTTACTTTCTTGCTCATCTGATAGTTTGTCTCTTACAAGAGTCTTAGTCAATAAAGCTCTCAAATTTTGATTTTTTTTAGGGAATAAAAAGTAAAGAGAAGGCAAACGTACGCAGGAAAAATTTGGGCATCCGAAGTCACTTTTTTTTTTTTAAATTGTTATGTTTTTCTGATTTTTTTTTATTTTTAAGAGCTTTTTTCGGTATAAATACTGAAACATATCACAATATTATTTATCTTCTTTTCTCATATGTCCACTTTTGTTTTTCCCAAGGTACCCGCCATCATATGATCCTAAAATTGCGATTTCCTTTCACAACCAAAGACTAATTAGTAGTATAAAGAAGCAGATTTTTATTAGGTTAAATTTAATAAAATACTTATTTGTATGTAGGGGTGATCACATATTCCTGTTCCTACAAAGAAGCAGTGAATCAGACATTGAACTCAACTAATGCCTGGAATGAGGAGATGAGCCTTCAGTTACACTGGTCATGCGTTGATGGCGGTGAGAACTACCAAGTACTTCGCTCAGGTAATGTTACCTAGCAACAACTATAGAGAGAGATTATTTTTGTTCAATAAAGCAGTTTAGTTCAGTCAGAAATTGTATAATTGGAAGATAAACAGATTTAATCGCAAGGTGTTGTGTTTCGAGCTGTTAAGATAAATTCCATTAATATAGACAACATAATTTCAAACATGTATTTTCATATCGCTACTCCGATACAATCTCATGCTTTATCATTGATGTTTGATCACTTGTAGTGAAGGAACTCGGATATAGGGGCATGGATGTCATTTTGCTTTCCGTTGACCTGACAAATAGAGATGTTTTATCCGAACAGCTGTTGAGTAATATCCCAGTGATTTTCATTGGGGAAGTAAAACCATCACCATTGGATAATAGAAACAATTCCTCCCAGTCAGTACCCACGTCAAGTTTATCAACCCATCAAAAACGTGGTTGTTCTCCTCCTCATGGAACTGAAGAATTCCTCCTCCCGCTTCAGACAAATAATTCCCTAACCTTGTTCGGCTTAAACTTCTTTGCTGTTGTACACCATCTACACTGGACATCAGTCATTATTCTTTACGAAAAAGCAGTGGGTAAGTTTCAGTTAAGTTCAACACCTTAATTTTGTTTCCGTTTATCTTTATATATACGAATTTCTACCATTATAGGTGGGTGTTGTTTAACTGTCAAGGTATGAATCTATCATTTAAACTATTGCTTAACAAAACCGTTTTAAACATATGCGGTATAAACTCGCAAAGCTTTTTGATGGCTGAACTTTGACTACAACTACTTCATGTTTATTGGCGTTTTCATGCTGAATACATTTTTCGACAGCGAAGTTATTACTGATGTATGATAAGTGAAACAAGACGTAAATATTATGATAGATGTTTAATCTGTAGACAATAATTACTTACAAGATGATAGACAGTAGATAGTTATCAAACATTCAGCAGCATACAGTTGCAATCACTCAGTAGCTGGAAAGTTCCTCCCCGGGAACCGGGAGCTGTTGAATAAGTCTCTCTCCTCTATTCTTGCCTTTCTCATTTTATGTCTGACTGTCTCAGATTTATACTTATGATAAAAAATAACAGGGTGAATATCAATCGTCATGGCTTTAAAGTATATGTATACATGATATTACACAACGGCCAGAAGATGTACATGATCAACTGTAACATCATAATAACAACATTCTGTCCGGACAGATACTCATACTGCAGTATGTTGGAAGCTGAGCACAGGCTACAAATAAAGCCACGGATACATTAATTTAAGTAGTGTTTCAAGGTAGATCATCTTACGATAAACCCTTCAAAAGGTAATCCGCGATTGTATTTAAAATTATTTAATTTGCAGTGAAATACCTTGATAATAATCAACTCATCAATTACTTATGAGTTTTAGTAAATCATAACGTTTTCACCTATTTCTGATATATTTTGTTTTGATATTTACATGTTCACATGCCATATAACGCTCCAAATGGTGATGACAGCAAAATATAAGAGGATGTAGAATAGGTCAATTAATCGTCATAATAATTCTTTCTTTGTGGTAGAGGCAGGTCGCATTACTCGTGGCTGTTGTATATGACATTTTTCTCACTGGAGAAGGTAATTTGAAAAAAAAAATGCGGGAGTTGTGTAATATATATTTATCTTCCTACATGCTATTGTATGCTGTTCACTTACGGACACAATTGTTTCCTTTCTAAAAGATTCAAGAAATAACAAAGTTTGTTCTAAATTTCATGAATTCTTTTGTAGTCTTTTACCTAGATCAGATGATACGAACCCTGTCGGAAAGTGGGCATTTCATTCGTTCACATGAGGTTGATGGGATGAGTAAAGAAAAGGTATTTCATTTACTTCAAAATATAGATGACAAAAACAAGGATTCCCATGTGAATATAACCATCATCGCCTACAAAACGTGTGCTGATCATCTGTTATCAATAGTAAGTCTTCATCGCCATTTTGTTGAATTTCGAATGTATCATTGTTATCATAAATATATATTGATCCTATGTCGACCCTAAACATGACAAGCCGACATTACGAATATGACTGATCTGAAAAAAGCCCTTTTAAAATAAATAAACCTGATTTGTATACTATCAAAGAAAACAAGCCGGGTCATATTTTCGAGATTTTAGGGTAACAGTAGAAACATGGTCACTAGGAAAAAGAATTTTAGTTTTAACGAATTGAAAAAAAAACAGCAATTGCATTAAGAGTTAATCAATTCCTGGCTGTTAATGACGAATACTACTTTAAAACTTGTAATTTCTAGTATACATATATACTTATCAATAACCCTGAAAGAGCAAATCTTTCGTATCTGTAATTATGACATTAATTGTTTTAATAATTTATATGTTTGTATTTGGGAAAAACGAAAATCACTTTATCAATATAAAGTGGTTAAATCAATATTTATATCTAAGGGTAGATAACTATGACAAAAGCCTGTAGTAAAATGATTTTGATGTTGTTTTAGACTTAACCTCATGTTGTTGCATCTGTTAACCATAAGATCCATATAGAGGATACATAATGTACCTACAACATTTAGGCAGACAGAAGCTCCAATACGCAAACAACAATTACTAGACAATAAACATTTTCAATAAAAGATATTTCTTGTCTCTGATTAACTGTTTTGTGTTATTTAAATTACTGCACATACATTATCGAGATACGTATCTGTAGCAATAAATATGACAAAAATCGTCATCATAGGCCGGCCAGTATGCCCATCAGAACAACAGAAGATCGTCTTTGAGCTTACGGTCCCTGTGGTTGGTGTTCCGATTGGATGACAACGACAATCTGGACGGGATGCAGAATTATACAGCAGATATTGACAACGTTGCAGTCGTTACCCTTCCAACATTTTTAACAGATACCGTGGTTAGTGATGAGGTATGTTATATGTTTTCAATTATACAATTTCCGATATTCTTATATAACTTGTGTTTAGTTATGCTTGTCTTGAAGCTGAATTTGCAGTACTACCGATATCAGTGACGCAAGACATAAGCCGAGACGGAACTTCAACCATATAACAAAGCCTTGATGAATCATAATGTTCTTCAAGGCACCGTCATAGAGGTGGTGCCATCAGAGTTATAATGATGAAAGAGACATTTAATAAAACAAGTATAAAATTTATCATAATTTTCGATTCGCACCCTCCCTCATCAATGCACAAACAGTTACAATGTAAATTAAGCTATATCTCAAAGAAGTTGACATATAAAAGGAATTTGGGCCTTTGAGATACACATGATTGCTTGGTAGGTAGACCGGAAGGAGGTATTTGTGTATAGTAGCTTCATACCTGCTTTGTACAGCCGTGGGATCGCATATGTTATTGAAAATTGTCCTTCGCATTATTCGTCTGTATACAACCAAACATTAATGCACAACACTTCAACGATTGATATATTGCTCATATACTAGATATTAGATAATGAATTTTAGTCTTTAATTTGAGACGAAGGCTAAAGGCAGAAAGAACAAAGCACAATTAAGCGCGTATTAATCTCAGTATTCTACTTTTGACAGAAGGAAAGCATACACTAAACATGTAAGGTTTGGTTTTTCGTTAACTTCATACCTTATGCAACACTGTTTCATGTAACCTTGCCTTATAAACACAGAACTCGCTCAAGGTGTGCAAATATCAGACCGCTTGACAGAGTAAACTGACAGTTACCCGATGTTTTTAATCACCGGTCAACACCGATATTATTTTGATAGCCTTGCAATCAACATTGCCTTTCGGTTCATTGTTATGTTCTTAAAATTGACCGTCAAGTCATAACCGAACGTTCCCAATATGCGAAACTATTGTGCAAAAGACGAAACAATCGTGTATCATACGCGCATGCAAGCGATTCACACACGAAGTGCCCATGGTGTTTATGGTCCGTTAAGGAATTCCAGTTATCTAATTACTCCAATCTTTTGTCTATTTTTTCTAGAAAACGTTAACAGATTAAATTACATCAACTTTGCTTAGAGTAGAATTCCACAGTTCTAAACAAATGCATATACTTGTATGAAATTCCATAATTATTACATTGTTTCCATCACAGAAGGCAGACATACTTCAATTAATGCGAAGAACCCTTTACACTATTGGTTCAAATGCCACCTTGATGTCGACAGGTTTACAAAAAAATGTAACTTACGAATTCATGGAACATTTGCGTTTGGTGAGTATATTTTGTCCACATTTCAAATGATTTAAGGAGACCGTGGACCAGCCTATTTATAATTTTCTGTTCTAAAGAAGCACAATGAAGAACAAGACCAGAAAAACTCACATTTAAAAGATAAGTCAACGGTGAATCGTCTATGCTAGTTGAAAAATATACTCTAGGGATGAAGAAACGCAGAGTAAACTTTGAAGATGATTCTAGGCAAGACGTCGAGCATTATGTTCAATATTTTAAAGTAAGAATGAAGATTAATCCATACAGAACTAACTGCAAATTACACGATTTGTATCTGGTAAGCGATTTAGGAGTAATTGGAGGGATTTAAAAGAGAAAAGATAACTGTGTTGTGTAATCTAAAATACGAAATGGACTGATTGCAAGAGCTGGCTAGTCAATACCGGGTATGTCCCCCATTCGTTCTCTACACAGCCCTGATTCTCCTAGGCATTGAGTTCATGAGTGAGTTTATCCTCCTCATTGGGATGTTGGCCCATTCTTCCGAAAGGGATGCTATCAGCTAGGGCAGAGTAACGGGGAGGTTGGCGTCGTCGAACCTGTCTATCCAGCTGGTCCCACAAGTGCTCAATAGGGGATATGTCGGGTCTGTATGGCGGCCTGTCAAGTGGGTGGATATTAGTCGTAACATCGGGCCGAGCATTATCCTGCCGGAATGTGAGGTTGTTTTGCTGCAATAATGGGACAGCATGGGGTCGGATGATCTTATCTCTCTATCTAGCGGCAGTCAAATTACCCGCTACCCAAACCAGTTGTGATTTAACTCCCACATCATAACCGATCCACCCCCAAACCGATCCGTCCCTACTACGCAGCAGTCAGCAAAACGTTTTCCACGATTTCGGTATACGAGACGTCAACCGTCTGCTCGAATCAGGGTGAACCGGGACTCATCATTAAAAAAAGACCCATGTCCACTGCCTCAAGGGGGAGACCTACAAATGGTTGACTTGCCCGCAGACCGACTTCCTGCAATCGTTTTCTTACAGTTTTTGCATGGATGGGCCGGTTGAGTTCCTATGGTATGGCAGATTCAGTAGCAGGTGTTGATTGCGCAAATTCGCGAGACAAAAACAACCTGCCCTGACGTTCTGAGGTCACGAGCGGACGCCAAGGTGTGACAGCAACCCTCCCAGTTTCCCTTAGACGTCTAACTTCTTTAGTGAAAATATGGACACCGAAATGTCTGGCGACCTGTATTTGCCCTTGACCTTGCATAATCATTGAAATGGCCCGACCCCTCTGAACTTCCGTCAGTCGTGACATTGTTTAAAGCTATCAGAAATTAATCAAATTATTGGAAAATGATATATGTCTCTATAAAGATTACCTAACGGTATGACGAGCAGGGTAACTCAATGTCACAACACTGTTGTGCAGGAGATTTTCCCATCTCGTGCTTACCCCGGAAGAGCAATACAAAATGCAACATTCGATACAGGACCAGGTGCGCTGTTTTCGAATAATGCGTTCGCAAAATATTGAAAATAATGCCACCCTGCGTTTCTTTATCCCTTGAGTATATATAAACCGAATACACAGACGGAATAATCCTGGCATAATGGCTTCATCTCACTACTTGTCGTAAGAGGCAACCATGTGGGTCAGTCCGTGCAGATCGTCTGAGTTGATTATCGAGATGTCTTCTGTTTAGTTTAGATCATGAGGTGACTAAGCTTTGGCTTTCTACCAAAACACCCTCTCCCATATGAGTCTGTTGGTTGCGAGATTATTTAGGGTAGTACATAAATAAAATAAATAGTGAACAAAACTGTTAAATACCGTTTCAACGAGAATTCATTTGACACACAAATGAATGGATTTTATATTAAATCCAGTTAATGTGCTTTTACAGCAGCTCCAGCGCTGTCACTGGTCATCGGTTCAAACCCTCATGCTTACAGCTGAGGGGCGTGGATGGAGCCACGTTGGATACGTTGCCATCGGTGGACAAACAGCTTTCTTCGCCGAAGTCTTCCCAAATATCGCTTTTGGGTTCAACGGCCGTAAATTTTCAGTAGCTACATTGGAGGTAAGTTCATACAAAGACGGACAACATTTACTCGTTTAGTTTAAAACAAAATATAATAAATCTTAACATCGATGATTGAAAAAAAACAAGTAAGAGGGCAGCATATCCTGCTTTATCAACGACATCTACAATGTTAGTCTTGATTAATACAAGTTACGTGAAACTCTCAAGTAAGAACAAGATTAATGACAACGTTACTACTAAGGTCATACCAACGAGAATTGAGAACATTTAATTAAATGGAATAGTTTCCGATGAGAAGAGTGTAGAACCATTAAATTTTCATCATGTTCTTAATCGATATACACACCTTCCCCTTGAATCGCTCAGCTGTTAATATTTCTGATAGATATCGATGTATTGGTAACAAGTTCCTGGGTATTGATTCAACTTCGACATGTAAACAACATAGGCAGGAGACATAAAATGTACAACAGGAAAATCGAAAATACGCTGATCATACAGCATAATGGGAAACTATTCATGTTGATTTCAATGTAGGCAAAGATGAAAGCAAACTACTCGTGTAGACGTGGCCGTCTTTGATTTCCAATTCCGGACATGTATACGATGGACATGGTCAGTTATTTCTTGTTGTACAAACGTTAAACGGAGGAACTTCACCAGGTCTATGAGTCATGTTTTGATAAGCTCTTCTGTAAATTCATCATTGATGTCATTATTAAACTTATCAGCAATCCTTCTTGTTATTTCCTAGACTATTTATTTCAGATATAACTAGTGTAACGTTATGAATAAAAATAAGTAAATCTCTTATCAATTACACGTAAAACCTTATCATCTCCCTTCAATACAAAATTTGACATACCTGAATTGTCCTTACATGTTTCCCTCTATTGTCTGGGTATGCAATTGTACAGAAATTCATCTTCTTCTCCTGATCTGCTCCTTCCAATACCTGTATTGTCTGTATATGTCTTTCTTGACTCTATTGCCCCTCATTCTAACTATTGGCCCGCTAGGCAGTTATACAGAAAACTAAAAATAGATACACGGTGACATACATATAATTTTAAATCCTTTTTTTTCACTATTTCAGCCCTTGGTTTGACTTAATTAATATGTTACAATGTTACATGGCAGATGAAATTAAAAACGAGTCCTCTTCTGAAACACCTGGTTTCAACATTTACCCAATATAATCTAACAACTATCCATTACGATTATCCATAATAACAAGAATATTCGTTGTCTTATTTTAAGGCTATCTCCTAAGTGTATGTACAAGAAATGCTTCTGACAAAAAGAACATTTTATAATCGATCATGAGGCATTCATGTGTCTTCTAAAGATTTCTGGAGAAATAAAAACTCATAGTACAATCTTCCATCGATTTTTCATACTGAGATTCTAATGAGTCGAGAAGAATTCTCACCAAAGCATCTATTACCTTTCCCAATACGGTAACTAATTAAATAGAAGTTGTTTTGTACTTTTCTAAGTAGCCCTATTCACATCACTACGAATGTTGTCTAAACAAGATCAATACCCCTGACAAATATTTTTCTCGGGTACTACTAACATCCAAAACTGTTTTCTTGATACAAAGAACGAAGGATAAGCACTACGCTTCGTCAATATTGAAGCTAGCTTCTGTGAACATTGATGAAGGGTCACTGACTTGTGTTCTTCAAAGATGTGATCCCTTTATTTGTTGACATCGTCTTTATTTTTGTATGACCTTAAATATGTCCAAGGATTAAACAACTATATAAACCAACCTAGGCTTTACAAAAAAATCTTTCTTGGCAGGAAAACTGAGTTTTTCTAAAACATCTAAATTTCGAATTATTTCTACAGATTACTCTTATGTGTCTAGAATGATCTGTCTTTGATATACAGTGTTTGTCGTTTAACTTCATATTAGTCATGTTATACCAATGTATTGATCTGATAATTATAAAATGACAGTAGATTAACAGAAAACCAAGGTAGCAAAATAGTTCTCTGATCATTTCCTGATACACTGAGCAACCTAATCGATAATATTTTCCACTAAGAACTAAGCTAAGGAAGATAGAAAGCATACTTATGATTTTTAATTATCTTCTGTTCTTTTATGAAAACCATTGAACAATGATGTAATTAAAAAAATGTACTTACCTCCCATACAATGTCTCTCTCTACATTTTTTAATATTCTGAATATATATTGCAGTGGTCACCTTTTGTAACTGCTTTACCAAACAACACATACACTGGTCTGTGTTTTGACCTTCTCGATCATATGGCGGCCAGCCTCAACTTTACGTAAGTTTTTGATATTCAGTGAAATCAGTTTTGTTAAAATATATATGAAACATAAATATATTCCAAATAGCAAAAATTTCTTTTCTTTGTTTTGGTCCGTTCGGTTTCCATTTTGTCGCATTTGTTCCTGATGCACTCAAAGCATTTACAATAGTAAAAAAGTAATTTTGGAAAATGAAGTTAATGTATGGCGTTAACCATACAAGATTATTTGTGTTTGATGGGAATGGGGATGTTACATCCTGGGATCAAATGTCACATACCTGTCCACTGATGACAATGTTTTGGATGCAATTACTAGATTTGATGTTTAGATGCCAATACATCACAAAATTGGATCCGGATATCAAAACGTTTAATTACAAACGATATTATACACACTGGAGACTTGACACTCGAATGGCCTACCCGAGAGAAAACTTTCTTAGAAGCAAAGCAATCACCAGATATCATTCTTAAGTAGACGGTAATCGAGGGCGGTGACAGTACCGGATGGTGATAGGTCGGATGAGTACAGTTTTGTTTTCTAGTGATTTGAAATGTCCTTTTCTTAACCTTTTGAAGAATGTACAAGACACACAAGTAAATACTACCTTTTTACACATTTTGAATTTGACACAGTAGTGCCAAATAATGAATGGAACAGCATCGTGTATTTTTCTCTTAAAAAAGGATGTTACTGGTTCAGACCTGTGAGTAAAGTCCTGAGCTTAAAGAGTATGAGGAGTGCCATACCGTGACCACGTTATGATATTTCGATGTACTGGCAATATAGAAAGAGACGTTGTGTAACTTCAACATGTGTTAACTCCATCTTTATCGCGGATAGGTATAAAACATAAAACTAGGCGAGTCGCATATGTGAGTTGTCATTACTATTCTTTGTTGTTGTGACTTTTGGTACAATTTACAGCATCTTAGAATCATAATATTGTATCTTCTCACTTTTGTCAATCAACTTCATTTCAGGCTTCCCGTTTGACTTAACGTAGTATGTACATACAAGAAATCACAAGTATGACATATCTGATATATGTAATACCATAAACTGTGCCATAATTATGTTTTATTTTAGGTATGACGTCACTGAACCCGCGGACCAACAATGGGGAGTGCTGAATGCTAATGGCACATGGACTGGTTTAGTTGGCCTACTCGAAAGATCGGTTCGTAGCACCTGAGATTTTCTTCAATGTAACAATCCATTTTTATACCTTTTTTCATTTATTCAATTAGTTTACTAAAGATACTATGCCAAATCATGTAAGATATATAGAATTTTGAATTACAGAAGCAAAGGAAATTAAATTTCACTATCGTCCACAAGAACAGTAGTGATGCACGCTGTCCGTTATCACTTCCAATCAAACACCAGTACATTTTTTTCCAATCGTCATTCCGGCAGAAAGCCATCCGTAATACTAAAGCGGTTATAGTCACTTTCGTTCTCTGAATCCTGGAAACATTTCATGGCAAAATTGGAGGTTTTATGTGCGCCACGTTGTAGATAAGATGAGAAGACAATTTTGATCTTATGATGTACCTCAAACGAATCTCGAGGTTGCATAACGGTATGTTGTACTGGCTTTGAAGCCTGTAATTGGTAAGTTTTTTTTCTCATTAACCCAGTTCTTAACCAATTATATATTTTGCGTCCAAAGTTAGTTCAACGTTTTATATTTACATGCTCATGTTTCTTAAATGAATTATGTTTTTTTCCAGTAATAAACAGAATATAGGAAATTAACGATAACATTTCCTGCATATCAATAGAATTAATAGAATAGAATTCACAGATAGTGATGTGTATTTTATTTTTCAAACATGGCCCCAATTATAGGGCGAAAGATCGAGAATATTCCCTAAAAAGACGGGCATCATGGTATGAAATGAACCCTATTTGGTTATTTCAACAAAGTATTATACGATAAATTCATCAATTTTCGAGTGATGATTGCTTTTGATAACTTCGACCGTATTCTAAAAGCACAAACTGTTAAAATTAATACTTGAACATTTATTGAACTAAGTTTATCCACGAAATTAAATGTTCACATATAGCGATTTGAACAAAATAACGAAAAATAAGCCTGCCGAAAAAAAATCCCGTACCAATATAAGGAAACGGTTCAAAGGAATTTTTTTTAAAATGTACCTCTGTTCTTATCGTGTGGTAACAGGAAGTAGACATAGTTGCAGCACCTCTGTCAACTCAAGCTAACAGAGAGAAGGTTATGGACTTCACCTATTCATACTTCATCGATTATACTACCATTATCATGAAGAAGCCAGATCCATACGAGAAAAAATGGCGCACTCTGATTGACCCCTTCAGCGAGCAACTTCTACTTTGCGTTCTTCTATCGCTTCCGGTAATGTCACTCCTGCTTTTCCTTTTCGAGCGGTTTAGTCCTTACTACACTGGGGATGAGGAACGTGAGGGGATGAGTGGTCTCCATACGTACCAGGACGCCTTCTGGTATATGTACGGTGCTCTGCTCACGCAAGGTAGGTATAACGTGACGCTACCCAAACTGATACAAATTTTCAAGGGCTTACCCTAATACTTCTTTGACACCGGTTCCAAGATGTTTGTTTTATTCTTACAAAGAATGACCAAGAACTTCTTTTCCGTGGGCTGGTTAGACTAATAGATCTCTTACAGTTTTTGATAGAATGGTAAATATGAGATGTCGTCACTTCTCAGAGGGTATCAATTTGGGCTCGTGACCCAAATTGATACCCTCTGAGGAAAGGGTTCCAGTGTGTTGTTAACATTAAAACGGCATGTGAAGCTGGTGATTACACATTCATCTTGCGATATAGCGTAGGAGATAGAAATAAAGGTCTAAGTATTGCAATGAGATAAAATCCAAACAAATAAAACAAAAACCACACAAAATCTAAATCTATAAAATGTGGACATTTGCAGTTGTACAACAGCAGACCTAGATTTACCTGCACTATGAACCGAGAACTGCAATTAGACAAGATACAAAGCATCCAGGTTGCTGTTCTAGAATAGCATAAGAAACATTCAAATGAGCTCAGGCCGAAAGCAGCATAATTTATAAACACGGTGTGGAAATCTGTCACTTAATCTATAGATAGATATCTCCTGATAAAATATAATTATCACAATCGTTTTCTGTCTAATTTTTGAAGTCTCGCTTTGTCTCTGCCATCAGACGGTAACTTTTCTTCAAAGCTAACTAAAACCATAATTACGTTTATATATACTGAACACATATATATTTGTCTAGCCTTGTCATCTTAAGTTTGATACTGTTTTTATAGGGGGTGAACATCTTCCGCAGTCACAAACTGGGCGTACACTGCTGAGCTCCTGGTGGCTCTTCTGCATCATAATGATGGCTACATATAGTGGTAATCTGATTGCCTTTCTTACTGTGACAAAGGACAAAGCACCATTTACTACCGTGGCGGGCATGGTACAGATGGACAATTACCGCTGGGGCACCATCGGGGGAAGTTCGTGGATCGACGCTTTTAACGTAGGCATACACGTAGCCAATAACAACTTCTTTCATTTGTTTTAATTGAAAAATAATCCATAATATGCAAAGAAAAACTTAATGAAACACAAGCAAGTCAGGAGATTTGGAACAACCAATATATGCATCTGCATTTTGTCTTTGCTTTCAGGAGACACGAGTGCCCGACTTCATGAAGGTTTGGGACGGAATGTTAAGGTTCAACGCAAGCGATCCAAGTGTTCTTAGTCCGAAATCAAGTGTACACTTTGACAAAGTGCTAAAGGGAGATTACGCTTACATAGGAGACAAAACTCAAATGGAAATTAAGATGGCTGAAGAATGCTCCCTGTTAATGGCTGACGAAGTCTTTATGCCATTACAATACGCTTTCGGATTTCCCAATTTTTCTCCTTACACAAAAATTTTTTCAGATGAGTAAGTATATTTTTCATAAATTCATCCAATCAATTCCGCAGAGGTAGGTCATGTAAAACCTTCTCTTTCATCTGCGGCAATTTTTCATTGCCTGTAACGAATATATTTTTCACAAAAACTCTTGCTTTAGGAAATAGGATACGTGTCTCGGGGTCAGTTGTGTTCATCAATGATTTTTGAAATGCATTATACGACCTGTGACAATTTAAGCTTTAGATGCTTCTTAGTCGGTAACAAATACATGAATAAAGAGTGTAAAACTGATGCCGATGTTTCAATCTATTTTAAGGTTACTGTACGTGCACGAGAGTGGATTATTGCATATATGGAAAACTCGTCGCTGGCCACAACGCAGTTTCTGTGCAAGTGAATTAGTGACAGTTGCCAAGACAATCACACTAGTGGATGTCCAGAGCGCGTTCTATCTTATTGGAATCGGTGTATGTCTCGCTATGTTGGTATTTGGCTTAGAGAAGTTTGCCTATTGGTACAAAACAACGATCAAAGGTCAACATGACACTTCAAAATCACACGTAGAAATCATAAACACCACAGACACGTTTGTGACAGATAGTAAGTAAAAACTGACACAAGCTTATCATCAGAAGTGTACATCGAACAATTCAAATTTCTTCTACATTGAAAACTAAATGATATTTCAACGCAACGGTCATGGATAACAATGTACCTTTAAAGAAATTTAAAATTTCATCATATGACTACCTTTATTATACACGTGTGATTTAACATAGCTATGTTGTGTGATTGGTTGATGCCATGTGTCTTATTCCAACGCTTGGGAACGACAAAATTTTGTTTAACTATCATCACAACAAAATAAAATGCTTCTACTCAATGAATAAAACAGTAATATACAATAGAACTTATTTGACAACATTTGCGAAACAAGCTATCTGTTTGGAAGCGCGGGGGTTGGGGTGTCTTACTGTTGGAGGAAACCGGTACCCGGGGAAAAACCCACGTAGTCGGGCAGGTGACCACATGACTTTTTACGTCTATCCCAGATATTTTTCTATGAGAGCCATATTTTGAGGAATGTGTTTTAGCACTATGTGTCTGTTATATCACATTGTAATTAATTTTCTTTTTTTTTCGCGCTAAAGTTGACTGTTTCTTAGTTACAATCGATTCGCATATATTTTGTCAAAATATGATAATGAAAATGCTCAATGTTTTCAATTGTAAATTGTATACTTGACCTACTTTTGGATTTTAGTGACAGCGCTGATGAGCTGATTGATCAGCCGGTTGTACAAACAAAATGGGAAGAAATGAAAGTAGATATGAGTCATATAGTAGATAGAATAGAAAAAAAACTCAAAACAGATCTTCTGTATTTTTATTGCAACAATTTCAATCTTTCACTTACCACTGCTGAACTTTAACCAAATCAATTAAAGTGTAATCTGGGTGTAATTTTTTATTTAAATATAATGTTAAGAATGCCGTAAAGATAATAATAACGAAAACCCCGTCAAAATCCGTCGCCCCAGTGTCGAGTTATTAAAGCTCAAAGTTGTCGATTTTCACCTGTCCGCTCAGACCTAATCAGCGTAATCGTCATTTCCGCGGAATCGAGGCGCTTCTAATAGTGACGTCATAAGTTCAACAGAAAAGGCAGCCAACATGACTGACAGCGACAACGACACCGCACCTGATAGCGAATTGAACATGAGTTTTGAGGAGTCTGATTATGGTGTGGATGATATTTCTGAAGACGGAATCCAGCCCTACCTATTTGAACCGGAATTACAAGACGATGTATCCAGTGAGGAGGAAAATAGCATCGTCATTTAGACGAACTCTTTTCGGCGGAGTCCGATCCATTGCTTTCATTACACTATACCGGATTGGAAATGAAGTTCCGTCGAAGTGTTTTGAACATAAATATGAATATTTCGTTGGACCTTTCCACATGTTTGCCTTCTTCCTGACAAACTGAATCCATTGTTTGCATAAATCTGGCCTATTTAATGGGAAGGCATGCATCGACACCCCATCCGTGTTAGTGTCCAAGGGGAATTTTCGTTGTTATTATTATTATTATTATTATTATTATTATTATTAAGAGATTAGCGTCCTCTATTGTGGCCTTTCGGCCTTTCAGAGGACGAGAAAAGATAGGAGTGAGTAGAAAGGGTACAGTATGTAGAAGACAGGAAGGGAAAGGGAGGTAGAGAGGGGGGAGTCGCCTGTACCTAACTCCTAACTTAGCGTCGCGTAGCTATAAATTTGAAAGGCGACTTGGGGGGCCTAAAAAGTCATTAACCGATGGTGCGACCTATGGTCTGCTTCCGGTGATCCGGTTATCTTCGCTGCGCGTTCCGTCTGGACTTGGAGAGGAGGTGGGGATGATAAGGGAATTATTTGGGGGATCCTTTTATGGCCTATGTTATTAATCCAAATGTTGTGTCACCTCTAGATAAGGGTGATTGACTTAATGAGCCAATCATGAGGGTCTTACGGCTGCCCGGAGGCGCTGGCCCTGGGGATTTATTTAGATATAAAAGGTTTGAGGAACCTGTTTAATTGAGGTGCACTTATAATTTTTAATTCTGATGCTATCCTATTTAGTTTTATGCTCTTAATTAAATCATCAAGGTTATATAGTAGTTTCTAGCCTATACTGGTACCTGTGCTAGCCTTGATGATATGTTACTGAAAAAGTTGTGCATAGCGCACTTAATCTGGTGAATTCCTATTCTACACGCGTTGATTCCGCGGGAATCAAAATAAAAATATAATTTGGAAGGTCTGTCCAAAAATTACATTATCCCTAACTTAATCTTACCTACTAGTCTAGCTAGAGCCCCTGGACCGGCTTGCAATAAGCCTTCTCTTTTACGAAAAGTTCAGGGGGATCTTTAGCGTGCAAAGGTGGCCCCTCCTTCACACGGGACCCGACATTTTAAAGTCCCATCCGACGGACTGTATATTAGTGTTAGTAATTAGTGCAGGTACAATTTATTTTTGTTGTCCAATCATATCTCTTGATTTGTGCTTCCTCCTTCCGATGCTCTTTCAATTCTACACAAATTTCCTCGTTCACAATATACCACTCCAAGCCATCAACTATTGTTCCACTCGACATTTTTATAGTGAAAGTGCTTGTTAATGGTTATGATAGGGGCGGTAAGGGGGTCCTAGAGTAAATGTGCTGGGGTTTACCTATATTGGGCGAGTTGTCTTCCATTCGTTCTATACTACGTTCCTTATGTATCTAGAGGGAAGATGGGTGGGATGGGAGCGAGGCTAGTCTTTTGTTTTTATGCTGAATTTTGTTCTTAATTCATAAAATATCCAATCCCTTATTATAGCTTGCCTAATTTGTATAATAGGGTCCTTATTATTCCTAATCCTGGTCCTCCGGGGTGTGTGTGTGTGTGGGGGGGGGATTTGTGGGGTTATAAATTAACCTGAGTAGTATGTGTTTTGTTAATTTAGTTAGATTTAATTCAATAGCATCGCCGGAACCGGAAGTACTACAGGAGCCACGTCGGGTGGCCGGACTCCCCGCCTGAGACCAGAACAAATCTCGATGTGTTCTAATTTGTGTTCTTTTAATAAATCATGAATGTTATAGTTAAATGGTGGTTTGGAGTGTTGAGTAATTTTATCTCGATAAATTTTATCTGTACTTTCCTCTATCATAAGGTTGAATGGTGATTCTGGACCTAAACATTTAGTGCGAGCCCAATATTTTAGGATCAAATTGTCTCGTCTCAATTGTAGGGGGAGCTCTCCGCTTTCTGCCAGTAGGCTTATTGAGGGAATATGTTTAAGAGCACTTCGTGCTATTTTGAGTGCTTTTAATTGTATTCTATCTAGTGCCTTAAGTGCATTATGTGAGGCCGAATTGTATACTTGACAACCATAATCAATCTTCGATCTTATCAGCGCTTTATACATGGTGATTAATGTGATTTTATTGGCTCCAATTTTATTACCTTTTACGATGGACATGGCGTTAATTACTTTTTTTACATCTTTTTATAATATACTTTATATGAGGTATCCATGAGAGCATTCTGTCAAATATCATACCTAAGTATTTGCTTTGGTTAACGAAATTTATATCAGAACCACCTAGAGTTAACTTGGGAAACCTGTTTCTTCTAGAAAATAACATTGCTACTGTTTTCTCTTTTGAAATTTTAAACCCGTACTGATTGGCCCAATCATGGATGGCGTCTAATGTTCTCTGGATAATGTTTTTACAGTTCGTTATGTTGTTACCTGATGCCCAAATGCTGGTGTCGTCTGCAAATTGAGCCTTAGCTGCCTCCTTATATTTTTTGGTTTTAAGGCGGACATGTTCATGTAATTTGTTAATGTATATATTAAAAAGTGTCGGGGAAATTACGCTCCCTTGGGGGACCCCGTTATCTAATGTACGCTCTTCTGATAGTGTTTCATTTATTCTAACTTTGATTTTTCTATCTTTTAAGAAATTATATATAAATTTATAGATATTGCCTGTTAGCCCTGTATCTTTAATGGTTTCTAGTAACCCTTCGTGCCAAATTAAATCATATGCTTTTTCTAAATCTAAGAATACCGCTAGTGTATGTTGTCTTTTACTTAGTGAGGTTTTAATTTCCGAGGATATTCTAATTAAAGGGTCTAGGGTAGAGCGATGATTCCGGAATCCGCTCTGGGTGTCGTCTATTATATTATTCTGTTCTAAGAAATGTTTTAATCTATTGTTCACCATAGTTTCCATAGTTTTACAAAGATGGGATGTGAGAGATATTGGTCTATAGGAAACTGGTTCTTCTTTATCTTTGCCTAATTTTAAAATGGGAATAATTACAGCCGTATTCCATTCTTTAGGGTAAATGCCTTTTGACCAAATCATGTTTATCAAATCTAAAATTATATTGTTAATTTTATCTGGGCATTGTTTAAGGATTGAATATGAAAGATTATCTATACCTTGTGATGTGTTTTTCTTCATTTTTAAAGCTTTGAGATAATCGTTTACCGTAAATGGGACATTTATAGGTAAATCGTTATTACCTGGATCCTTGATTTTGCTATCTAGTTGTTGGATCTTAACTTCTTTATTTTCAAGGAATTCCTTAGTGCAGTTGTTGTTACTACTAACACTTTGAAATTGATTTACGAGAATTTCTGCTTTTTCTTTATTTGTTTTTCCTTCTCCATTTTTCCCTAGGATCGTGATTTCTTTAGTCGGTATGCCCTGAATTGCTTTAATTTTATTCCAGACTTCCTTAGCATTAGATCTATCATTAAGCGAGTCACAGAATTTAGTCCAATGTGCTTCTTTATGTTTTTGGCAGGTTTTTTTTAATTTGTTTTTAACTGTATTAAAAATTCTGAGATTAATTTCAGATGGATCTTTTTTGCATATGCGTTCCCATTTTCTTCTGATTCTTTTGGCCGTATCACATTCCGAATTCCACCAGGGATTATGTTTTCTCTCCTTAACTTTGCCCGAAGTTCGAGGTATTGTTTTATGCGCTATTTTAACTAAACTAGATGTCAATTTTTCATTGTATTTATCGATGTCTAGGTCGAATATTTCATCTTTATTTAATTGGTTACATGAAGATTTGAACTCTGTCCAGTTTGCCTTTTCAAATATCCATCTAGGGGGAAATTGAATTTTGTTTTTAATCGGTTGAAAGTTAAATTTAGATAAAATAGGGTAATGATCTGAACCTAATGTACTATTACCCACAACCCATGAATCTAATTTGGTTGCTAGCTCTGGAGATGATAGGGTTAAATCTAGCACTGAGGTTTTCCCGTTCTTTTCATTGATCCGGGTACCTTGATCTGGGTCGTTTAATACTATGAGATCTTGGTCATTTATCCAATCCTCTAATAATTGCCCCCTTTCACAGTCATGGTTACTTCCCCATAGAGAGTTATGGGCATTAAAATCGCCTGAAATGATGTGATGTCTATAATTTTGAAGGATGGACGTAACATAATCTAGATCTGATTGATTTAACTTTAAGGATGGACTAATGTATATATTGAAAATGGCATATATATCTTTATCAGAGTGAATCTCCACCCCTATAATCTGTATGTTTTCGGGGGCTTGAATTTTGATATTTCTATATGCTATATCGTTTTTGATGTATATAGCTTGGCCGAAAACTCTGTCGTGTGTTTTGATTGGTTCATAATAACCTGTTAATTTAGGATATTTATGCTTAAGGCTAATTTTAGTTTCTTGAATCAGTAAAATATCAATGTTTTTGTCGACATCTAGTAGGTGTCTTAAGTTGTTTAGGTTAGGTTTAAGACCACGGGCGTTCCAGCTGAGAACAGATAGCCCTCCCGTGGTCTTTTTATCAGCTATCTGTGTATTAGTCATGATTATTTAATTGTTTGTTTTAAGAGTGAGGGGGTGGGGTGGGGTGGGGGGGGGTTGTTAATGTGTTTGGGTTAGGGGGTTTATTGTTTACGTGTTTTCTTTTGAGACCTGGTGTTGGGCCTGTAGAGACTTTCGGGGGTTTGAGGGGTAAAAGGGATTCTGCGTTTGGATTTTTTCTTTTTAACAATTGTAGAAGGGGGGGGGGATGATTGATTGTAGGATGTAGTGTGATTGGGGGGTGTCAATTGTTTATCAAAGTTGGGGTGTTAGGGGTCGAGGGTTCACCCTCGGAGTCTGTGTCAGTGGGGGAGGCGGACATGTGTTCAAGTTTTGAGGTATCGGCTGATCTTAGTGTAGTAGGGATAGACTCTAGTTCCTTAAGTGCTGTATCTATGGTGTTGTTAGGGGGGGGGGGGGAGTTTGCTGGAGTTGATGTGTGTCGTTG